TTCCACAGCTCAACCACAACAAAATAAATGATCCAATTTAAAAATGATTCAAAAAGACTTGAACTTTAAATGATCCAATTTAAAAAAGATTCAAAAAAACATTTCTCCAAAGAAGGTATATGAATGGCCAACAGGCATATGAAAAGATGTTCAACATCACTAATCATTAAAGAAATACAAATCAAAACCACAATGAGATGCTACCTCACATTTAGAATTGCCACTACCAAAAAAAGCAGAAAATAACAGATGTTTGCCAGGATGTGGAGAAACTGGAACTTTCCTGTACTGTTGATCAGTATGTAAAACGGTATAGCTGCTATGAAAAACTCTAAAGGTTACTCAGAAAATTAAAAATATAATTACCTAATCACTATGGCTAGATTTCTAGTATTATGTTGAATATAAGTGGCGAAAGGGCATCCTTGTCTTGTCCCTAATCTTAAATACCACCGTCTTTTCATCATTAAGAATGATGTCACCTGTAGGCTTGTCATAGATGTCCTTTATTGTGATGCAAAACATTTTGTCTGTACCCAATTTGTTGAGTTTTTATCAATAATTTGTATTTAGTCAAATTATTTTTCTGTGTCTATTGAGATGATGTGGTTTTTGTCTTTTGTGCTGTTAATAAAGTGAATCATATTTATTTGTGTATGTTGAACCTTGTTGCATCCCAGGGATAAATCCCACTTGATCATGGTGAATGATCTTTCTAATATACTCTTGAATATAGTTTGCTAGCATTTTGTCAACATAGTACTTGAAGTCCTAACGAGAGCAATTTGATATGAAAAAGAAATAAAAGGCATCCAAATAGAAAAAGAAGTTACACTGTCTGTTTCTTGATGCATGATCTTATATACAGAAAAACCTAAAGACTCCGCCAAAATACTGTTAGAACTGATTAGTGAATTCAGTAAAGTTGCATGATACAAATCAGCATTCAAAAATCAGTAACCTTTCTAATGCACCAACAGTGAACTATCTGAAAAAGAAATTAAGATAATATGATTTACAATAACACGAAAAAAATCTTAGGAATAAATTTAACTGAGGAGAAAAAGACCTTTACACAGAAACAATAAAACATTGATGAAAGAAATTGAACTCAGCACAAATAATTGGAAAGATACCCTGTGTTCATGGATTGGATGAATTAATATTATTAAAATGTCCTTGCTATCCAAAGCAATTTGCAGATTCAATGCAGTGCCTACCTATCAAAACTCCAATGTCATTCTTCACAGAAATACAAAAATCAATTCAAAAATTCGTATGAAATCACAAAAAGACCATGGATAGCCAGAGCAATTTTGAGCAAAAAAGAACAAACGTGGAAGTATCACACTACATGATTTCAAAATATATTGCAAAGATATGGTATTCAAGACAGCATGGTACTAACATAAAAAAAGATACCTTGACCAATATAATAGGATAGAGAGCCCAGAAATAAATTCATGCATTATGGTCAATTTTTTACAAAGGTGCCAAGAACATAAAATGAAGAAGAGACAGTCTTATCAATGAATGGCATTGTGAAACTGTATATCCACAAGCAGAACAATGAAATTGAACCTTAATCCTACCCCATATGCAAAAGCAACTGAAAATGGATTAAAACTTAAACTTAAGACTTTAAACTGTAAAATGGCTAGAAGAATACAGAAAAAACTTAACAACATTGATCTCTACACCAGTGAATTTTTTGGATCTGACCCTAAAGGCACAGGATAGAAAAGCAAAACTAGACAAGTGGGATTGTATTAGACTAAAGAGCTGCACAGCAAAGGAAACAACAGTGTGAAGAGACAACCTATAGATTTTTATAAAATATTTGAAAATCATACATCTTGACAAGGGGCTAATATCAATATGTGAAGAACGCAAATTACAGGAAAACAATTGTATTTAAAAATGGGCAAAGAACCTGAGTAGACATTTCTTGAAAGAAGATACAAATGGCCAACAGATATATGAAAAAATGTTCAACATCAGGGAAATGCAGATTAAAACCACAATAAAATATTACCTCATGCCTGCTAGAATGGCTGTGATCAAAAAGATGAAAGGTAACAAATGTTGATGAGGATATGGAGAAAAGAGAACCCTTGGACACTGTTGGTAGGAATGTAAAATATGAATTGTTACAGCCATTTTGGTAAACAGTATGGAAGTTTCTCAAAAAACTAAAAATAGAACTACTATATCATCCTGCAGTCCTGCTTCTGGGGATTTATTCAAAGGAATTGAAATCAGTATGTAGAAGAGATATCTACATGCCCATGTTCATTGCTGCATTGTTCACAATAGCCAAGATATGGAATCAACGTAACTGTTCATCAGTGGATGAACGGATAAGGAAATTGTGATGTATACACAGTGGAATACTCTTCAGTCTTAAGAAAGCTGAACTCAGAAGTACAGTAGAATGGTTACCAGAGGCTGAAGGTATGGGGAGAGGAAGTGGACAGGGAAAGGGGAGAAGTTAAAGGTTTCAAAGTTTCAGGTAGGAGGAGTAAGTTCTGGTAACCTACTGTACAACTTTGATGTCCATAGTTAAGATGTAGATTTTAAAATTGCTAAAAGAATAGATTTTAATAAAAAGTTTTTGTCACAAAGGATAAATTCGTAAGGTGATGAATATGTTAATTTACCTGATTTAATCATTTACAATGTATATATGTCCATAAATCACATTATGCCTCATAACTATATACCATTATTATTTGTCAATTAAGAATAAATAAAGATTATTTTAAAAATAGAATTACCATATGATCCAGCAACCCCACTTCTAGGTATGTGTCCAAAAGAATTGAAATTGAGGTCTGGATGAGATATTTCCACTCCCATGTTTATTGCATCATTATTCACAGTAGCCAAGAGGTAGATGTAACCTAAATGACCATGAAAAAATGGATAAAGAAAATATGATACATAGATATAATGAAATATTATTCAATCTTAAAAAAAGTAAATTATGTTATATGCTACAACATGGATAAAGCCTGAAGACATTATGCTGAGTGAAATAAGCCAATTACAAAAATCAAAAATTGCATGATTCCACTTATATGCCGTACCTAAAATAGTATAATCCTTTTGAAGCAGAAATTAGAATGGTAGATTCCAGGTACTGAGAGGAGGGTAAAAAGGGATGTTGTTGGTCAGTGTATTTAAAGTTTCAGTTTTGCAAGATGATAAAGGTATAGATTATCTGTTAAACAATAATTTTCATACTAACATCACTATACCCTTTAAAATGGTTAAGATGGTCTATTTTGTTCATGTGTTTTTTACCATAATCAAAAAAGAAAGTCAATATAAGGCAATCACACAAAAAATCAAAGATATAAAGAAAAAAATAAATCCCAGATATGTTTTTTTAAAAGAATCTCTAGGAAATTGCCTTTATTAAAATATGTTTTATATTTGTAAAGTAAAATTTGAAACTGCAAAGCGGTCACTAAATTACTAGATGCTTTATCCAAAAACTGTGGATGTTTCCTCAGATTCCTCTCCCTGTCACACATACATATATACACAAATATGTATCTCTCCCACCATGCTTTTGCATCTTCCCCTCTGAACCCAGGGAAAGACAGAATGTTGGAAAATTTGAGCTATGGTTATGAACACTTCAAAACAGTTTAGCCCTAGTTGGGAAGGAACCACTTTATTCCACTACAACTTTTAATTTTACCTCTGACAAGACCTTGGACAAAGAATCATTCCCTGGTAGCTTTGGTCTGTTTTCTCTAACAGCTCTTGACAAATTACTGGAATGGGATTGTAGTAGCAAAGGTCTACCAACACATCAGGGTCTTTGGATTAATAGCCTTGCTTTATGGAGTTCTTTAAATTTATTAGTTGAGGAAAAAAATGGTTCACGGTAGTCAAACTAAAGAATAAATTTAGATCTGTGTGATATTCTTTTTACCAAAGAATTGAAAATAAACTGTTTTTCACTATATAAATATAATTTATATTTCTTTCACAGCCATTGTCTCACATCCTGAGAATCTAGAAAATTTAGGATTAAAGGTAAACACTAGTTTAAGAAGTAGTTGTTGACTAGGCGCAGTGGCTCACACCTGTAATCCTAGCACTTTGGGAGGCTGAGGCAAGCAGATCACCTGAGGTCAGGAGTTTAAGACCAGCCTGGCCAACATAGTGAAACCCCATCTCTAGTAAAAATACAAAAATTAGCCATGTGTGGTGGTGGACACCTATAATCTCAGCTACTGGGGAGGCTGAGGCAGGAGAATCATTTGAACCTGGAAGGTGGAGGCTGCAGTAAGCTGAGATCATGCCACTGCACTCCAGCCAGGGCAACAGAGCCAAGACTCTGTCTCAGAGAAAAAAAAAAAAAAAGGAGTTGTTTGCTACTTAGGTTTTGTTTTTTACTTTAATAATCCATTGATGAACTACTGAAAAATATATCTTAAATGTTTAAAGTATAAATAATACTCCAGCCTTTAGCAAGTATAAATATGCCAGCTTTTATAGGTATAAAAAATAGTATCTTACATAATCTGATTTATTTGGAGAAATAGAAAAACTAAGGATTATGGATAACAGAAGAGGGCAAAGACTAAGGTAGATGGGTAACAATATTTTTAAGATCTCTTGTTGACTGACTAAAATGAAGATACTTTTTAAAATCTATCCTTTTATGCTTTTAAGAAAACATTTAAAATTAAATTCAAGTGCCGATTTAGTGTAAAATTCTGTACTTTATTATCGAAGAAGCAAATCCAGAATAGACTAAACTTTCGTATGCTCTCAAAATAATATGACTCCTACTTTCTGTGATGGCTGTGTAATACTTTTTACAGTGGAGCCACAACTTTCTTCTTTCTCCCTCCATAAAAAGCATGATTATGAGTTACTGATAAAAACTTCAGTGACCTGGAGGGAAAGATGGTGGGAGGGAGAGACCCTTCCCTTCAAAGGCTGAAAATTGGTATATTTTTGTTTTTTATTGCTTCCAGATTTTGTACTTCAGCTGCGGACTTGAAAATTAGATTATTTACTTCAGATCTTCAAGATAAAAATGAATATAAGGTATGTTGACAGCTATACAAATCTTTAGAGTTTATTTTAAAACTTGTTTATTTTTTGCTGTTTTAATTGAATTTATCCCAATTTAAAATGGCTTTTTATGGTTATCATTAAAGTATATAATTTAGGGGCTCATTTACTCTACTATAGGCAATAGTAACTAGGTTACTATATTAAGAACTAGGTTCTTAATAATGACTGCAAATTATAAATCTCATCTCACTTATTAACTTGAAATGTCAGGTAGGAACAAGAATTAAGAAATAATTAGGAATTCAAAGTTGGATATATTAGGAATATAATCGCCATGAACATCCGTAGAGTAAGAGTTGAACTTCAAGGGAACAAATGATCAGCACAGCATAGCACAGGCCGGATTCCAAAGTAGTTAGGAGCACAGACACAGAAGCCAGCTTCCTTGCATTTAAACCTCCGTGTTATTACTTAGTAATGGTGTGACCTTGGTTAAGTAACCCAATCTCTTTGTGCTAATATCCTCAGCTGTGAAACAGGGTTAATCATAGCAGCTGCCTTATAGAATTATGAGCATTGACTGAGCAGATTCATATAAAACACTTAGAATAATGCTTGGTACATAGCAAAACCCGTATGTGTGTTTTCTATTACTATAATAATTACCCTCAGGTTGGGTCGAAATTACATCATGTTTTCTTATAAGTATGGTACTGCCTTCTTGGTTTTCTGATAAACCAAAATGTGAATATTGTTATAAAACAAAGATAAACTAAACCTTTCCAGTCATTTAGAAAATAGTAAAAATTATACTCTAAGCTATTTACAATTGGCTTAACCTATTGTACAGATTGGCTAATTTAAGGCTATACCAAAAATAACCAAGTATATAAATGCACATAAAATTTTGACCTATCCAAAGTTAAAATGCTAGTTATAATACACATTAAACATTCAGTTTGTTACTTTAGTTTGTCTTGTAGGCTGTGACAGAAGCTTTGGAGAATGATTTGGAGGACCTGGGTTTGTTACAGTGACTCAGGAATGTTTGAGCCAAATCCTTTTTTTTTTTTTCATGTTACATTTCTACATAGTGAGCAGTACTATACAGAACTGCTCTAATAACCTCAGAACGAGATCAAATCTGAGGTTTTGGAAAGAAGGAAGGGTAGAAAAAATGATAATCATTAAAGTAATTAGTTGACAGGCCTATTTAGGATTTCAACCGTGAAGATTTAGACAGATTGAACCTTACCTGCTCACACAGTCCTCTAGCATGCAACTTCTCATTTGTTGCTTCTCTGTCAAGGCAAAGATTTTTGTGTTCATGATGACTATGGTCTTATAACACCTAGCTGTCTTCACTGCTGGCAGTCACATTGAACATGTAAATGAAGGCATTAGATGGTGAAGTCCATCCTGTGTGTGTTTGTTAAGTAATAGTGAGTATACAGAGCAACAGTTACAAGGTAAAAAGCCTAGAGGCACTCTTCCTCAAGTACCCCTAAAAAGTTTTCTAGCTCTGATTTTTATTTAAGCTTTATATAAAAAGTGAGAAAGGAGGTGATATGAGGACAGGTACAATAAAAATGTATATGTGTTTTTGTAAGAAATGCATACTAAAAAAGAAAGACTAAGTTAATAGTGTGTTGAATGATCAATTTCTTTCCAAGATAAACCTTCCAAAAACTGGGTGTATAAATCATGCTTTAAAAATAGCAGATTGCTTAAGAAATATTTATAGAAAAACATGCAGTGAAAGCTTTTAAGGCAGTGAAGCAAAAATATTATGTAGGAATATTATAGATTTTCCTGTTTTGATACTAAGTTTTCTCTTTCTGTCAGGTTTTAGAGGGCCATTCAGATTTCATTAATGGTTTGGTGTTTGATCCCAAAGGTGGCCAAGGAATCGCAAGTGTGAGTGACGATCATACCTGCAGGTATGTTGCTTATATTATAACCACATTTTTAAATTTTCATTTTATTTTAATGAGAATTACATTTTTTGAATGAGAAAAAAATGTGACTTTTATATAAATTCTACAGAGTGTTGTAAAAGAAGCATACCTTATTTGAACTGTAGGTATGACACAAACATGAGTTTCAAAACCAGTGAGCTGGGTCCTCATCACCATTAATGAAAAGTTCCCTTGCCTCTCATGGGTGTCTTCTATGTCTTATTTCAGATTTTGACCTTTACGAAATCCAAATATGTATCGGGCTAGGCACAGTGGCTCACACCGGTAATCTCAGCTCTTTGGGAGGTCAAGGCAGGTGGATCACCTAAGGTCAGAAGTTCACGACCAGCCTGACCAACATGGCAAACTCCATTTCTACTAAACATGCAAAAATTAGCCAGGCGTAATGGTGTGCACTTGTAATCCCAGCTACACCTGGGGCCAAGGCAAGAGAATCGCTAGAACCTGGGAGACTGAGGTTGCAGTGAGCCAAGATTGTGCCACTGCACTCAAGCCTGAGTGACAGGGTGAGACTCTGTCTCAAAAAAAAAAAAAAAAACAAGCCCAAACTATTGGATCAAATTCCCCAATATTGGACAAGATGAGTAGGAATAAAATGCAGTTGTCAAGTTACCTCACAGATCCTATGTAAGTTAGTGTTTAATAATGAACTACAGTATGACTCTTATCTGCTACATAAGACTGATGGAAAACTTAGTGTTTTGATAAATTCAGAGGTTTCTACATAAGGTTTTCTGTAGATACAATACATGTCACTATTGTGTTCTTCTACCCCACCCCCTAACTTAGGACAGATGAGGTAGCTATAACTTTTTAAAGTGCCAAAAGCTGGAGAATATCACAAGTAAAGAGTAAGATGAAAACAACAGGAGGTTGAAATAAGCTGAGGAGTCAGGAGTGAAATGAGTGCATCAGTCATTGGAAGGGTGTCAGCTGCTTCATTTGCTTTAACAATACTGAGGAAGAAAAACTGCTGCTCTGCTGTTTTGCATGTTTTATAAAACTATGCCAAAGTCCTTAGTATTTATTTGTACTTATGTACATATAAAACTATTAAATATGTATGACTTCACATTAGAAGTAAAGCTGCCAGCTACATTTTAAATTTTTAATCTTCTTAATATACCTCATCTTTTTAAAGTGATAGGGTCATAGGCCATTATTCTTTATGTGCTGCCTTTTAAAATTTTTATGTCAGAGATATGACAGATTTACATAACATTAAGATTCTGAGGCCCCAGTATTACAAAACCAAGTTGGTATAGTGACCTGAAGAGTAAATGAAATCGTTTTAAAGTAAAAATTCGATCACTGGAAATAAATAATGACATTTCAGCTCTTTAAAAGATAGACTGTCCTAATCACAAGTATTTTAAATAATGAAACCTGCAAAGGAGGAAAGTGAGTGTCTTTGCAAGCCAGGAATAACCTCTGAATAGTGAACAAAAGCCATAGAGACCTAGGATCATCACACTCAGTAGTCTGTGTTTGCCTGTTTGTTTTTCTTATGACTTTTAGATTTTTTTTGTAAACTAGCAAATTTCTCCAAAAATTTAGGGGACTGACATAGCATTGCTAACCTTTTATTTTTTCAAATACAAAGCTTTTAAGTGTACTGCCTTCTACCATTATCATTTTATAAAAGAAAGGACACTCTAAAAAGTAGGAAAGGCCTAACTAAAGAATAAGTCCTTTCATTTCAATAAATTTAATTTTTTTAAAACCTCACTACATTGCCTCTAAGTTTCTTATTTTGCTAGACTGTCGTTGTTGATATCACTGTTCAACAAATATTTGCTCTCCTTTCCCTTTCCCATGAAGGAGATTTTCTCAACTGATTGTCCCTAGCTTGTGAGTTGTTTGGGCCATTATAGAATTCACAAATGTGACACAGAAACTTGAAATATTTTGCCTGGTTTGACTTGACCTCCTGTGCTCTGTCATTTGCTATAGGATGAGCATGTCCTAGATAGCTACTGATCCCAGAATGAGAAACACATGGAGCAGATATGGACCCATATGGCATTATAGAAACAGAGCTTCTTATATACCCATGTACAATAAGTTATGCTTATTTTTGTAAACCACTGAGATTTTCAGATTGATGTACATCAAGATAACAGTATTTTTAGAATTTACATCTTAGTTCAGCAACCAAAAATAAACAACTCTGATTAGTTATTAAAGCCAAACCTCTTAAGCCAAAACCTAAGCAATACAGATAAGATTTTTAAAAAAACAGAGCATATATAAAAAGTTTAAAATGAGAAAGAGTAGATAGTATCATACACTCTAATAGGAAGGAAAGAAGGAGTTCTGAGAGGACATATGTTATCACATAAGTAACAAAAGAGACTATATCATATAAGCAGTCCTATAATATGTATTCTGTACTATAAAAAGTAGACCCAGTGTTTACTTTAAAAAAAATTTTTAACCTCAGTATTTTGATCTATGCACATTTTCTGATGTTTGACTTTGACATTTCCAAGAAAGACGTGATATCATAATCAGCTAGCAGAATCTTGCCCTATGAACACTATTTTAAAACAATCGGTTGCCTGAATAGATTTCGTGAAATATGTGTGTTTTATTGAAAATTGCCAAATTCTGAATCAAACAGAATAGAGTCACACTGTGAACCAAGATACGACTCATAATACAAAATGTTATTATGGAAGAGGACAAATTACTTTTTATCTGAGACTCCATCTAGTTTTACTATTCTGTGATCTGTGCAAGTTTATAAGAAAATTGAGTTCTCATTTAAATCACCAGGTCTTTATCAGTTTTAACACTGCCTTTCTTAACATCTTATAATGCCTATCACACCTTTTTAAGTGAAACTCACAGAAAATGTAGCCTTCCAAATATGTAAGTACAGAAAATTATTGTACCTTAATTATATGATACATTTCTATAAAAGAAAAACAAGTAGAATAATAATGCATTATGTATAAGCTCACATAAAACTACATATGAAGACATAGTGGGATAGTCTTTGTCCTTCTTTATAATGAATAAGCCTGGATATCAGAAAAATAAGATAACAGGAAAATGTAAGGCAGAGGCAAGGCAGTCAAGTTGCATAGTTGTAGGGATTTATGAGCTGTATAGAGTATAATGTAAATAGTGCCATCTGGAGTTCTACAGTGTCATAGCCCTGAGCAGATCTATAGTTTTAGGATAAAAGCTCATGTTAGTAATAATAGAATGAAATTAAATCTCATAAGAGAAATAGGGAAATACAGGTAATCAAAATAGGAATAACATAGCAAGACAAATCATAGGATATCAAGTCGAAAAAATAAGGAAAAATAATATTCTTGCAAATCAGCTAATTTTTATATGTATAGTATCAAAATAATTCACTGTTATGCCATGGAATGAAATATTAATGTAGACTGCAGAAAATATTTCTTTTGAAATATCCCCACTTATTGGAATTTCTAAAATTCACTTAGTCATTCAAAAGTCATATAGAATGACTAGCACCACTGGCTCTCATGTGACAACCCAATCATTAGGACAATCAAAAATAGCCCCTTAGGTATTGGACCAATCCCTCATTGAGAATCATTGCTTTAGATAATAATATGTGACCAGGCACTATTCTGAGCATGTTTTTATGAATTTACTCATTTAATCCTCAAAAACCTTATAGTATATATTCCTTTATTATTTCCCTTGTATAGCAGTCTGTCTCTTAAATACTGATGTATACTGTTTCTACTTTAAGATTCTCTAAGAAGTTTTAGTCTTTTTGGGTTATTGAAAAAGCAGACGTTCATATTATCTGTCAAAAGCATTATGTATGGCTTAATAAAATTTATAGAATTGCATTTAGAGTCATGTCTACAGAAGAGACATCAGCTTCTGCTAGTAAAGAATTCATAGTTTTTTAAAGAAACCTTTGCCATCACACCCTAGTACCAATTCTTGAAATGAAGATATTAGGTTCCTTCTTCATACTGCATTAGCCCAGTTATTCAGGTAAAAGGAGTCAATGCAAACCACCACAGAGAACTGCATGGTATCAGTGATGCCTAAGTAACAGACTGCTGCTGAGAAACAGATTTTTCTGGGGAATGAGGAAAGTTACTCTGGAGTAGATTGCTTTAGACTGTCACTAATAAGGTATTTTGTGGATTTGGCCATGCTTTGCTGCCGTAGAGGATATCACAGAACTTAGAAGAATGCTATTCTGGTAGTAGTGAGTGAGTGGATGCAGGATATATACTTTTATGAAAAGTATGTATGTTTATGAAAAAGGTATAAAGTATATGTCTTTATGGAAAAGTATGTATCTTTATGAAGAAATATGTATCATTATGAAAAAGGTGTCATTATTGAAACAAAGAGCATCTGATAGATGTATTTAATAAAAAGAATTCCCAAGCAAAGCATGGGGTTGCTAGTCATTCAGCCTCATATTCTACACCATTTTCCTTATGATCCCTCATCATGTCTATCATATGCAAATGCACTCACACACGCATATACACATATACACATAAATACACATATACACATATATGCACAGGATGATACAATTACTGATGCTTATGTGTGTGTTTGTATATGCATATGCACAGAAAAATATAAATACTGATGTTCATATTTATGACATAGTGTCATTGAAAGAAAGCTAAAATTATCACAGTATTTGAGAGGTTAAAAAGTGCATATTCATTTAGAAAAAAATATCTCCTACTTCCAAAAGAAGGTAAAAGTGTCATTTAAGTATTTAATGGGTTAAGCTTATTATTTTAAAAACTCCCTAATACAGAACATGTCTTTCCCAGTCCGTGCCAAATAACAGATGTTCTTGTATATTAGAAACAGTACCATTCTGTAAGAACAAGTCATATCAACAAGTATTTATTAAACACATTGAGTGTAGCCAACATTTAGTACTTTGGAGGTTACAAAAGAAATACAAGACCCCAGTACTCCCTGGA